TGATGTATGCCGGCGCCAGTTCAGCACATCGGTTGACTGAGTTGTCATCCGAGGCCCAGACTTCAATTGGTTCTCGTCCTGTCTTGATGCTAGCGTGAGCAATTATCCTCGCGGCTGCGTAGTTAAATTCGTGGCCCGTCCCAAAGGTCAGGCCGGCCACTTGCGAAAATGTGCCATCCCGTCTAACAGCCAGCTTATGTTCGTGTATGCGCGAACCAAGCATGCAGCTAGTCTGTCCGGTGTAATCGAAATGCTTTCCTTAAACTTAACTCCAAGTTCAGTTCAGTTCATTTTTATTAGGGAAATATAGGTTAATACCTTTGGGCTCCCTCTTTGTACATAGCTAGGAAGTTTAATGTTATTTAATGTCACCTTTATACGAGGTGCAAGCAGTCCTCGGCCCTGCCAAGAGTGATTACAACAGATGTCCACCGTTTATTCTTTGTCCAAAACGTTAATGGAGACTTGAAAATGCTGGTAGCAAACATCAGGGAAAAATATTTTCAGAAACTGACTGACAAGAAGACTGCTTTTGATATAATTATATCATATTTAAAGCCCGGATGTAAAATCAAATACCGCAGGTTACTCTAACAACTCCTTTATACTGGGACTGTGCGAGGCACTATACTGTTAGTAATACCATATAATAAATGAGTTGACGAGCATCCAGCGGTAACGGTTAATGATTCCGTTATTATGAGTCCTTTGTGATTGAGGGAACATAGCTTTGTAACGTGTTCTGGCCACTGGTAAACTTGTTACATCAAAACCTGAAGGACAAAATGGGTTAAAAAGTGTGCATTATTAGCGACAAATATAGCTGTTTGATGAGTATAACTCCTTCACATCCTGCCGACTGCCATGTGAAATATAAAGACACATGATAGGCTGATGTAGGCTTAGCTAAACGGAGTATGGTAATATAAGTCTACAAATAGCCTCTCCCATCTTTCTACCTTAAAAGCAAAGGTAACCAGACTTCCCATGACCTCGCACTTCAGGTTCGAACGCAAGTGTCATAGGACTAAATAGTTATATGAACAAACGAGTTACGGAGGGCACGCAGACCATCTAGTATAATGCATGATCCATGCGCAAAGGCCAAATAAAGGTATGCAAATCACAGGGAAAATTAGTGGTTTACTGGTCGTTTATGCCTAAGAAGACAAAAAAATGCATTCCAAACTTCCTAGTCGCTGCCCGTGAAGCCGCTTAGATTTTGTTCAAGGCCAGAAGTATAATCTAGATGTGGCGTGATTGAGCAAAAATAATATGTGATCGCTGGAACAAGACTTTTGTTCGCCTGACCGTTTGCAGTCCGTCGCGGATTCTTCATCAGAGACGTTAGCATAAACAGTAGCAGAAACAGATAATACATGCACAGGGAATTGCATTATTTATAGGATGCAATCACTATGTTACTGCACACTTATAAAAATTAACGCCTCCCCTATCGAGGATAGTTTCCCGCCTGTACGCCAACTTGAAAAAGACAAAGAACACGAGATTAGCAGAATTTATTGGCGTCATACAATTCCGCAACCTCTACTCGCACTGTTACTTGAACTGCCTAGCGTTGATAACTACCTCCCCTCCCTCCACTCCCTCAGCATGCACTCACATCTTATACTAATAGCTCCTACTCTATCTACCTATCAAGTTCCACCCTTCTAGGTCGATACTTAATTGGACAGTTAATGTAACTTATTAATAGACAATGACCGTTTGCAGTTGAATAATAGGTCGCGAAATTGTA